AAACCTGCATTCTTCACTTGATGGAACGTTACACACTCCAATGAAATATGAGGTAGTTCCATCATTCCTTGTCTTGAATCATCTTCGCAGAACTCGAACATTCTTCAACACTTTTCACAGTTATGTGTTCTGTTACCTCCATTAAACAAGAAAACACTAATCAAGTTCATCTCCCAATGTTCCTAATGTTATGTGTTCTCTTATACATCACCTTGTTGATCATCATCAAGATTCAAGATGAGTTTGTTTTGTTCTCGTTTTTTAGGGCCATCGAAATCATCACCACGTTTGTTTCTTGCAAATACGTATTCCTCATACTGTAATGATACTGATATTTAATGCAGCAGCTACTCCCTGTTAGGAATGAAAAAAAAATATAAGTACCCACTTTGATTATTCTGACATAACGTTCAAAGTCATTATCATCGAATTATTTCATAGAATCATTTTATGGCAAAAATATTGATATTCAAGTTACAGCATAAATGAGGTTTCGCAAGTTCAATCGTTTTAACTTACATAATTCTCTCTCAGCTGTGAAAGTAAATGGGCCATTATTATCACACGAGTTTTCACACCATTATTAACGATGCAAGATGCAACTATAAGGATGCAACCTTCATTTGGGAATTCGCATTTAACGGTTATGGTATTTCGAATATATTCACCATTCACCAATTATTCACAAATAGATCATAGATACGGTCTCAAAATATTTTCTATTGATTAATACGAAATACGAAGAGATGAAGCGATCTCATTCACAACAAATTCCTTCTGAAAATGTCAAATATATCTGAATCTGACAATTTTGCATCCGTGGTGTGTATTGTTTTGTTTTGCCAACCGCCAACTTGAATCGGTATCGTGGTTTTGACCCATTTCGAATGTTTCCTTGTTGAAAATAATTGAGTTGACAGCTGAAAATGCATCAATATTTTGTTCATTCATATATTCCTCATATTTCTGAAACATATTATATATCTGCAAAAGAAAAACAATGAAAATCTCAAAGTCGGTCGACCACACTTTATAAAAAAAACTTTAACTTAACTTAAAAATTACATGTAACCGGTTTCGGCGCAACGGCCATCATCAAACAAAAAAGTACCAAAGCATGAAGCTATTGAGTTATTGAGTAGCAGTATGGATAGAATCAAACATGAGGGCAACTCAAGTCGTCAACGGGCTATCAGAGTCATTGACTCAATGTACATGTAATTTTTAAAACGTTTTTTATAAAATGTGGTCGATCGACTTTGAGATTTTCATTCTTTTTCTTTTGAAATTACTTCGGACCACTTTGATATATGGATGATTTTCATGATTTGCATGTTTCTCGACGACACGGGTTTGAAATCCTATTCTTCAAACGTCACAATGCAACTTGACAGACATTTAATTGAAATCAATTATGAATGTACTTATAATATGATCTTTCATTTTTCATATGTCAAAAATATAATTGATCACTGTAAAAATCTAAGTGTGGTGACCATTAAGATAATAATTATCGATAATGTAAGGCTCACACTTTTCGTGTTTTTGCTAATTGGCAGGTCACATTGAATATTTTCAAGTATTATTCATTAATTTTTAATCGACCTTCATATATTATTTATATAGCGGATTTTTTTTAAGGATATCATTTCTTTGAACTCGGAAACTTTCATGTAACTTACTTGCTCTTGCCTTTGTCTCGAAAAAATTCGGAGACTCAGGAAAGTCGTTTTTGTGGTATCAAAGTCAACTTCCTTCCTAGCTTACTAAGCTAAATATTATTTCCACAGATCTAAAAATAGGCTTGAAAAATCGTGTATACAACATTTCTCCTGAATATCTAGTACCTATATACGATGAGAATTATATACAATGGCAAGAATGTTCGATATTGCTCTCAGGTGACGTCACTTATGTGGTTGGGGGGTCATCAATTATCCACATTCACATGACTTGGAATGCATGAAAACTCATTATTGAGGATAGAATTTACTTGAATTATGTGAATATTCTAGACGGTGTCGTGAAAGAAAACTGGAGGTGGGGATTGCCTGAGTTGTATTTTCTTTGTCAATAGAGAATGATCATTTTCGGCTTTTGTAGTAGGGGATGTTCTAGCAGAGTAGTAGATTGTTTTCAAACAACAATATACACATTCATTCCGGCGGCGGCTCGGTGGTCGAGAGCGTGAAGGCGCTGAGTTCGTATGGGGACTCCCACCGAGACATAGGTTCGAATCCTAGTTAGGCCATGGATGTTTGTGTTTGTATACCTAACCCCGCACAAGTTTCGACTTATGGGGCGTTTGGTCCCAGTGCTGGGACCAACGAGGTATGCAATTGCAAAAAAAAAATCCAAATCAGAAGAGTAACAAAAATTTAAACCTACTTGTTTGAGAGGTTGACTGGGACCTAGACAAAGGGTATTGGTGCCACAACTTTCTCACGACCGACTTATAAAGGGACTAAACTTTCCCTTGTTCCGAGTTTCTGGTTTTCGAGCTGAATACCGTCAAGCAAATCTCGTGGATGATTCATTGAGAATTACTTCTCCAATGATCTAACAATATATATATCTACTAGATCCTCCCTAGTCTCATCGTTCTGTACAAAGCATTGAAATTCACGTACAAAAGAGAGAGGGTCATCGACATGGCTGCATGTGCAACAAAAACAAGTACATTTTCACCCAACCAACAACTGGTAGCTACTCGTTGCCTCTCTCGTTTGTCGAATTTATTGGTTGGTTCTCCTCATCTTTCTTTAGGCGCGGTACAAGTTTGATTTGAAATTTCAACAAGTCAAATTAATTATTGCTAGTCGAATAAAAGAAAAGTGGGGCTCGGTCTTTGAGTACATAATCACACTGAGAATTCAAATCTACTCAAATAACTTGCAATATCACATTCACACTGCAGCATGATGGGGCAAAATTTGTACCCAACAAACAGCTGATTTTGTTGCGTCTTGTGTCTCACTCTTGCTTCATCATCAATACCTCTCTACACACTATTTAGTAGTTTGATACTATTAGTTCATTGGACTTCCAATAATCATAGTTACAAACAGAACTGTCGGAAATAGTCTTCTATGTTCCTGGTTCGCTGATGCTGATGTCTCTTGTGTGTTTGACTATTGTTCGACTATTGAACGAGTTTACAGTTCGTTCACACGGAAAGTTTTATTCTCTAGTAGCAGTTTCTTTTTTATTTTCACGTGGAGATTCAAGTTTTTATATACATCCGTCATTCCTTGCCCGCCCAAGTCTATAGAAGACTTCTGAGGGTTGCTCGTGAGGGGGCAACCGGCAAGGTTCAAGTTAGTAAGTTTTTTCTTATTTATTTAACGAATTAAATTATGTAAAGGTTTCGGACCATCAGCTGGGGATATTCTGTTGCGTTCCAATTAACAGTGCTGCTCCTAAAATGGCGTATGGTGTTAGTAAAAAAGTCTACACAGAACACACCGAAAGAAATGATGATGATGTGGTTGTGAGCATCAGAGAAGAAGTAGGACGGGTTAGGTTGGTGGCTGTGGAAAAACTACCAGCTGAGCGTGAGAGCGGGCCAATGCTGCTTAGTGGGCCTCCTCTAACGGGGGTTAACGAGGTAGCTGGAAGGCCTGCCACTGCAGCATATGGTAGTGAGTACATTACTAGCCGACTAAACACATCCGAAAAACTCTGAAAGAGAGCTGATGGACGGTATCTGAGAAAGGTGCTAGCCAGCTCTCTAAGCAACAACATCACTCATTAAAACACCTTGGGGCTTGCAAAAAGGTCCAATCGGGGACTAGTTGCTGACGTGCAAACGTCCCTCACCAGTATTAGTACCAATAGGTAAATTTTGGATTCCGTCCTGAATGGTTTTGCAATAAGACCAACTTTCTCAGAGCAAATTTGGTACTTGATGGTCGCTCTGAATATTTCGATGTTTAGTTAATTCGCTCATGAATATTGTTTGCTAAATGTTCAGTCTACAGGGTGCGCTCCGAAATTCTTCACACTTCAGAATATTCCTACCATATTTCTTTGCTTTCTTATTCATAACCGACATTTGCGATGTTTTACCGATTTCACCAATTGTTCTCTGCTGTTATAACTGACATGACCCCGAATATGATTTTTCTACGGCTATAACACAAAATTGTTCTTGTTTTACTTTGTTCGATACATCAATGAGGATTACTTTGTATATCATCAATTTTATTTCTGTATCTGATATCACAATAACTTCATTGTGTTATTATTTTGAAAAAAAATTCATCGCCCATGAAATGTCAAATTTCAAGCAATGACAGCTCTGTCTAATAGATGAGCATTACTTGAGAGGAAATCAGATGGCTAGAAGACGAATAAATCAAAAATGCTGCTGTTATCTGTTACAGCCATAGAAAAATTATACACTATAATTTTTCTTTCTCTAGCACGGAATGGCAATTTCCCACTCGAATGATTGCAGCAATCGCCTATGGCTCATGCTGCAAATTTCATTCTCGTGGAAAATCACTATTATTCCGTGCTCGTTAGACAATATTCTATTTCATGTTTGCTATAAATTTTTATTTCCACTACATTCGACTTTTCCACATCCAATTGTTTTGCATAACATTTCGATCAAAATGTTGACTACCAGCAGTATTGATTCGTAGAGGAATATATTATTTTCATTTGATAAGTTGGTGGTTTTCACAGATTCATGAGTGGTATTTGATAGGATTGAAAAATCAGACTGTGACTACGTTAAATTGATAGAATTCTTAATTTTGGAGGGTTTGAAGTAGGTATAGTCTTACAAAAGTCGGTTGGTGCAACTCTGGCAAGGAACGTCCGCCAAGTGCAGCCGCGGTTCCATTGAATATCAGATGGAATAGTGGCGCGCGGCGTGTATTTTATGCTGGAGTTGCTCCAATTCACTTTAGAAACACTATACTTCACTACAACAAGTGAGTGAACCGTCTTCAGTACTTCAGTAGTATATAATTTCATTTTTTTTTTTCTAGACAGGTATAATAAGGTAGTAAACTTTTGGGACGACGTCTATGGGTTTTCAATGAAATGCATGAAGAGTGAAGTACTTCGAGAAGCGTTTGTAGAAATAGTACCTCCAGAAAAAGTCATAACCAATTCAGTGATCTTGACTGAAATCGATATAAGAACTTGCGACGTGAATGCGTGTATATTCAGCTCAACATTCACGTTATCTGCACATAAAGATGGGATGCTCACTGCTATTGCAGGATATTTTGATACATTTTTCGATTTGGAAACTGAAGTTCGGTTTTCTACTGGTCCACATGCTACCAGAACCCATTGGCAGCAAACTCTCTTTTATTTGCCAGATACCATTGTTGTGAAGAAAGGTGAGTCATATTTTATAATATAAATATTTTCACACTTGGTTTGTTGAGTCAGAGCGGGAATTATATCATTCAGCTCTGATTTAATATAAACATTTGCAAATTTGTATAGTGAATTTGAATCTGAATCTGCATTTGTGGTTTTATTCAAATAGATAGATTTTTTTTCACTACTAGCACATATTTTCCAGTTTTTATATGCTATTTTCAACCGGAGAAATCGTTTTTCTTTCCTACTGGGCAATAATGAACACAATACCTATTGATGTCATCTATCCTCTTTGAAATTCTCTGAATTTGATTCCCATATGCATCTGACAGATCTAATCTAGTCAATGGCTATAACTTCTATCAACGAAAAAGTTACGTTTTCAGTTCAAAAAACCTTTAAATCAGTAAAATTTGTGCTAGTAGTGAAAAACCTGATATACAGAGTTTGCCAATGAAAACGAAACAGGCTGAATAACTTTCAGGAGAATGTGTATTTGAAAAAGCCTTGAAATAGGTCAATTGTTAATTCATGGGGAACACCTTTCTATACGATCTCCTGCAGCAAATATCCTATGACATTTCCTCTCCCTCCACTTTGCTGACCGGTAGCATTTGATTAGGGAAGGTACTATATTGTATGACACATAGTCAAAATAGGAATTTGATGAATAAATTAATGATATGAGTATAATTGAGGTTTCTCTCAATTTTAGCGCCTTCTTGCGGGAAGAAAAAATTTTATGTAGCCCTATGTTTGGCACTTTTTTTGAAAGCTAATTTCATCATCAAGTCAATGCACCAATGACATCACATAACAATATCAAGAATAAACTTGAATCATTTCAAAATATTGCCGGACTATAGCGTTTAGAAACTGAAATATTCAATCATTCACAGTTAATTTTCAAGCTATTATGTGATTCTATTCAGTGCATTGGATTACTATTAAAATTAGCTTTCATGTGATGTGTCAAACATTGGGCTACCCAATCCTTTTTCAAAATACATTCTCGAGCATGTATGGTACGTTTCCTATTCAAATTCTATTGGTCAGCGAGGTGACGGAGAGGGGAATGATATGTGGCAATTCGCAATATGATAAAAAACGACCTATTTCAGCGGTTTTTTTTTCGAATAAACATTCTCCCGGAAGTTATTCAGTCTTTTTAGTTTTCGGTAGCCCACTGTATAAACCACGGTACACAAGACTATTCTAGCATGTCACTCATTTCCCTCGATGCTGAAGCATATCGGGAACTAATACAACTAGCTCAGAAATGTTTTCTGTACCATGGTACCTAATAACTATCATATGACAGAAAAGGTATTTCCTTCATCAGACTTGGTCAGATTTTTTGAGTATACAAAAATGTTTGGACCTTATTTCGAAGTTGTTTGTCGAAATTCCATTCCATAGACGTCTTTTCCGACTAATCAAGGGTGATCTTCAGAGGTACATAGTTCGTCAACTTGAAAAAGGTTTTGTAATATTGAATTATGACGGATTCTCAATATGATTATTATATGTATTTATTTCAATTAAGTCATAATCAATAAATCGGATATCAACGTAATATGACGTGAGGTCGTGATGGTTGTAGAGGGTGGCTGAAATTCGAGCCTCATTGGAATCTCGTAAACTGAACTATGGCAAAGTTGCGCAATTTGTTGCAAAAAAACAATGATGAGAGCCCAATATCAACCACCCTGTGTCTATCCAAATGAACTTCTTGATTATTTGACAAAGTGTTCAATTTGAGTTCCATTTTCTTCGAACTCGTAGCTATCATATTTTATTTTTACATTTCATTTTCAAGTTAATATTAATGAGAACAGTCCAGAAATACAGTTAACTAGCCTGCAATTTGATTTTTAACAGCTAATATAAAGTTTGTGTTCGATATACTAACATAATAATTAGGGTCGTCTTCAGAGATCATGTCGCACATGGACAGTGTCAGTTCCCGCTGCAATAACAGCGCTCATACCGTCCAACCGCGACATCTTCGTTGAAGACGACTGTACAGTCGTATTAAAAAAAAAAGCGTACAAGTATTGAAAATAGAGGGTTACATCATCCTAGTTCTAGTTGTGTAAAACTGGCTCAGCCAATGTTTTGTGTTTTTGATAACCTATGACATCTTTACTGTCATTTGGTAAACAATCATTCTCGATAGCCCGGTTAACGCAAATAGTATGGTGTTAATGTCTCTCTGTAATATATTTGTGCGCTTTTTATTGAATACGACTGTGTATCTGAATTTTGACAGTCGTTTGACGTAGGTCCATCAAAGTTGCCAACTATTTTTTTTCGTGAATAGCCATATATTTCTTATGATCATTGGAAAATGCACATCCCAGAAAATAAATTGACCTGACTTGACTTTTATTGCGATATTGCATCAAAACTGAAATATCGAGTTGAATACAAACCTCATGACTACACTTCGTATCAATTCATCTCACTTGCATAACTAGGTGATTATATTCCGTAATTAGCCACTATATATTGTGACCATATTTATTTGCTCATCTAACATTCATACAAAGAAGGAACATAAACAGTTGATAGAACAATTTTAGAAGATATTTTGGGAGTGGAAGAAACCAAACTGCTGATAACTTTATGGTTCAAATGAGTTTATTGAAAATTAAATTTGATTGGTGAATATGCCATTTTTTATATGAATTAACATGAATTACAATCAATGATACTGAGATATATTTTTCATAAAGTCTCGTCAGTGATATGAATGTTTGCAAAAACAGAAAAAAAAACGAATTTCAAATTCAACTCCTGTGTACTATTTGCACAAATAACTAGAAATACAGTGTGGAAACCTATGATGGAATAAAATCCGCATATCCATATTACAGATATATTTAAAAAAATACTTCTGACAGGTCGATTTTTATATTTGAAAGCTTTCAATCACTTGTCAACTTAGTCCAAAATTTGGAAGGGGTTGATCTGTAGGGCAGGAGGTTGACAGGTAGATAGGTAAAAAATCGACCTGTCCAAAGGATTTTTCAAAATATATATCTGTTGTGGAGATACGGATTTTATTCCATCATAGGTTTTCACGCTGTATAATGATAACATATCCATTAGTGCTTTTGGATTCCGTAATTTATAATTTTAAATAATACCACATGGAATATCTAATATTTTCCAATTTATCACGAAAAAATTGACAAACCACTGACTTTTATTTAAAGCTGTCAACAATATAGAGTTTGTCTCGTTTCAAGAGTAATTAACCAGGTATTTTCTGTAGCTCTCGATCATGATGAAACATATATAGGTATCTCCAAAAATGAAGAATCTATATCAGACATCTTTTCCATGAAAACTTAGTTCCTATTCTACCAGGAGTTTTAAAACTACTTCTCCAATGGTAGTAGTCATCAACATTTCTAAAGTTCGTCATGTAAAATTTTACACTAATTTTGATCAAAGACCAACGCTGAACTCTATATTTCCACATGTTTCAAATGTCCAACACACAATTTTATGAAGATCTGATAATCTGAAGTTCAGAGTCTGTATCACGAACCATTGAAACCTAGAGTCTTCTGGATAGAAATGTATTTTCAAATATTGAAAGAAATGAATGCCCAAAATTGATATCTCGACTCATTATTTTTTGAGCGCTTTGTATGTCAATTTATCCACTATTTCTGATGTGCTAACATGCCAGAATTCAATTTGGAAGTTTCTCATTGTCGAAATACTTCATTTGAATTCTTCCTCTCTTTTATGCTCGAAATATACATTATTGCTAACAATTGCTACATAAAATATGTGCCCGTAAAATATACTATATGCTTTAATATCCAAACATGTATAAGATCGTTCATTGATATCTGTTTATTTTTCAATAACAATAAAACATGACATGATGATTCACCAATGATTCATGAACTGCCTGATAGGTAATTCTAAACTCCTGAATACAACCTTGGTTACTCTTGAAGCAGGACAGACTTTACATACATATTTCATAAAATGAAAATCGAGCAGAACTGGTATGATATTTCAATTTTTTATGACTACTACTGTAAGTTGTCAATTTCATTCAACTGACCATCTAAATACGCCTTTGCGTACAATGAACGATTGAACAGATTTCCTAGTTGCTTACCTATGTCGATTGTCTCCTTGATTTGCTGCTTAGTCATTGTCAAGCAATCATATTTACCTTACTTCTTAGTCATTGGCAAACAATCATATTTACCTTACTTCTTATATCAAAGTACACTCATCTTCAGAGAACATGTCGCGCTCTAATTGCAGTACTGATTAAGAGAGCTAACACCGTCCACTTTCGATGTTCTCTAAAGACGAGTGTACAGCAAATATGAAATATTACCAGACGTTGTGACGGTACTCAATTTCAATTTAACGTTAATACTTTACATTCCTTTTTCTTCAATAATTAATCATATCCAGGTTAGTAATATAAGTGAGTAGTTATTTCCAATGTTCGTTCCAAATCATCAAATGATGAATGAAAACTATTCCCATATGCCTTCTTGAATAATGTTTCCTCATAGATTATCAAATGATGAAAGGACATAATTTCTTCATGTTATCAGAAAGTGAATGCACAGTGCACTGTGTTGTTTACTCTGGCATCTACCTATACTCAATAATCTAAAGGGAAAAGATTGGAATCCAAGAGGAATTATATAAAAAAAAAATCGAGTTGAAATACTACTTAGCACTCATGGGGTGACACTCACCACTAACACAGATTCGTGTGTAACATTCTCGACTTGTTGTTACTTTGAAATTTCTATTTAAACTACAATTAGGTATATTAACACAAATCATATTTTTGAAGATCAGATAAAGTTGATTGCCAATACCTCCAGTATTACAAAAAAATAACAAATTCATGAAGTTGATTGAATCTTCAACTATCTAACGAATATCACATATTGATTGAAACATGATTTTTCAGGAGACAGGTTGGAAGGGACAGTTTCTTGTACAAGATTAACAAAAAACGTGAGAGGACTATCAGTAACAATCACAATTGGCAAAAATAAATACCATTACAGCTTAGATTAAGGAATCGATCGTTCTTTTTTGTAAGTTTTGTAATTAAATTGCAGTCTATTACAACTGAAACTTGATTCACTGAGGTAATAATTTACCTAACCTATTTGAACCTATTATCCCGCACCCTGAAGACCTGATTTAAAGGGTTGTAGACAGTCCGCTGCGTTGTGAAGAATGGTATCCTTCTGTTGTAGTCTGATTGGACATCTGCCCTCAATATCACAATGCCTGAAAATATACATATTAACTTGATTCTGTGGTATTTACACATTATTCTTCGTCTAGATTTTTTGGGATTATCTCTCCTCGTTTCTATAAATAAAAATATGAGTATGTTAGAATCATTCTATATTTATTCACAGAAACGAGGAGAGGAAATCGCAATAAAAACAGAAATAAACATTGCACCTCCTCGGTAAACCTACAAACTCTTCGAATTCGATAAATATAATGAGTTACAACAGAAGAAGATATTATTATATTGTTTCATTGGGATTAAGAGTGGTGGCTACATTTCATTCACTTCACAAATTCAGGCAAACCGGCAATCCGAGTGAAAAATAATATGTTTTTCTGTAACCATATCATTGATCAAGTACTGACATTTTGTGATACCTCCGGTAAGCTAGGCAACACTTTTAGTTTCAGGATTATAATACGTATAACGTAATGGTTTTCCATTCCGATTCGTAATGTAATTCGCTATTCTTCATTATTGGGGGCAGAAGGGCTCTTCGCATCAAACTTCAATACCGTTTTCCTTTTTTTTTGTTTAATGATATATATCAGGATAAGAGGGACTCTTTCCTGGTCTGAATCAAATGAAAGAAAGATCCAAGATTCAATATAAAGGTCCTCATATTCTAATTTAAAATTACATTAAAAAAATTCAATTTTTCAAAGTCCCTGTTATGGTGAAACATAATGCACTTTCGAAATATGCAGGATATTTCTTGAAACTAGTTTTAATGGATCTCTTAGTTGAACCTACATACATACAGGGTGTTTCAAAAAAACCTAATCCCCTTGCTAGGGTAGGTAGAACATTGCTAAATAAGTTGGGTTTGCTCAGTGAAAAAATGTCGTAACGGCATCCATTTTCAAGATACAAGGTGTTGAAAAAATATTTTGTTTACACATTTTTTACGATTATGTCGAAACTACTGGCAACATTGTAATGACATTTTGTATGGATGTGTTTGCTGACACATCGCAGAAGTATGTTTTTATATCTAACTCTCGTAGTTACACGGTTCGTACCGAGTAGTTCTAAAAATAACTTTTGAGGATAGATCTTTCAATCCAAATATGATGTGAACTTGAACATCATTCAATTTCACACCATAATTGTACTCTTGGTGAAATTTGATGCTGTGTACCATTTCCGGAATATTATTGTGATTTTTAGAAGTGCTATCTGTTGCTGGTATAATAGATACGATATAAAGCTATGTATTAGAGTACCTGACTATCATGAAAAACTATTTTATACATATTCATTGAAAACCGAAGACAACAATATATTTCTAAAGCTGAACTTCATGAATCTCAAGAGACATTGAAATGAATTTGACTAAAAACATGTATCACACAATTTAGTAAAGTCTAAGCTACAGAAATAAATTCACGTCAAGAGGTGCCAGATGAAATTGAACATAACTCTAATGAGCTAACAGCATATTCTCAACCGTTTAGGAGAATGCATTCTTATAGAAAAAATATAGAATCATGTATTCGCGGAAACGGAGAACATTTTGAACATTTAATTTAAATGATTCAATATTTTATGGATTTAGTAAAATTATTTCAATTTTATGCTTGTGATTCTTTTTTAAATCAATAACTTTAGCACAGGAATGTTATTGTTTTTGAATTTGATCTCAATAACACTTATTAGTATATTATTAATAATAACATATTCATGCGATGTGACAGTTTCCAGAACATATCCATACAAAATTTCATCACAATCTTGCCAGTATAGTTTCGACATAATCGTGAAAAATGTGAAAACATATTTTTTCCAACACCTTGTATCTTGAAACCCAACTTATTTTGCATGTGTTCTACATACTCTAGCAAGAGGATCACCTTTTTCGAAACACCCTTTATTGTTCTAGCATGATTATTTTTTTTTTTTTCGGTAAATTGGGAGAATAATATTTTTTAGTCTGATCTCAAAATATGGTTGCCCAAATATTCGTTATTATTCATTATCAATTGATGTGTTACGGGCATTACAACAAGCATACTTTCTCTTTCATATGAACATGCCATATTTTCTCACCTGATGGATTTACTTTAACTTTGATTTTGGTCTGTGGGGATAGTATTCCATAATCTACATCTTCGTATAAATCCTGAAAAAAAAATCATTATTGAAAATATAATTTTTCTACAAGCGTGCGTGATCTACCCTATACCCGCACGCAATTTAGTTTGGGAAGTGTTATGTTCCCGCAACATTGCGGGAAAAACAAAGATATGATAATATGGCAAAATATAAGTGGTAGGTGATGGTATATGAGAGTTTGAGTTTGTTTGTTGCAGTATTAAGTATGTATGTTCAGAATCATCCATCAAATTGCACTATTTATTGTGAAAATTAAGAAATATTGAAAAAAAAATTGATTATTATAATAATCCCCCTATAGATTTGGATTGAGTTTGTTATTGTCGAAGTGACAGACACAACGTTACTGTCATTTTCGATTCAGTGGAATTGCCACAATGTGATCAAAAACTTCCAGCTATAGGGATGCGATACAGATGCGTTATTGCCAACGAAGTCTTAAGAACGGTATGAGAAGCTATACACGCGTTTCATTGAATGGTGCAACGATAAAGAAATGAAAATACCGACTAAAGAAGAAGTATTTTTGGCTCATTTCCTATAGAAGTGTCTGAAACCTAGAGACCAAACACCTTATGGGCCTGCTGGCTTCCGCAATGAACCTATACATAATGCGTCAAACTGTATTCCTCTTGTTAGTTATTCCTATATGAATGTTGAATGAATAATTAATTGAACAAATCAATCAATTTCATATGCTTGTAGAAAAAATATTGTTCCTAACTCATGCGGAAAGAATCACTTTCCGCACTTGTTAGGAAAATTACTATTTCACAAAATTGTGTTGAATGGTCCACATACCGTGGCGGTGGCTGGGGCATATGTGCTGCAGTCCTGCAGAGCTCCAAAAAAAAGAATAGAAAAAACAAAATCACCATAAATGGCAAAAGCAAATGTACCCAAATTTTTTAAATATAATACTTCGTAATAATGATGATAAGAAACTGCAAGCGAAGTGTGAACGGATCACGAGACGCGTAATGTCGACGAAACGACCAGTGGATTAACCTACCGGACTCAAGCTACCGCTGAATTATAATTTGTCTTGGCCACACGATTGAACTCTAAGCGCTAGTTATATAGCGATCGTTCCCAAGAATTTGCCGTTCTCATGGAAGATGCTGATGCAGCTTCGCCGATCAAGCAGTATTCCAGGAAAGCTCTCGATGCGAACCTCTGAGAGCGAATCTAGTTCTCATCATTTCATTCATTCTAATTGTTATTCTTGTCAAAGACAGTCGATTTCCATTTTGTAATACAAATAATTCTTTTTTCAAAAGATATTCTCTCGTTCAAAGTATTCAACTCGTTTCTTCGAACACTCGCGCCACACACTTCTCTCCCCCTGTATGTCTAACACAAAGCCGTGATTTTAAGTGGATTGTTCGCTGCATTTAGTGCAGCGCCCGGCAAACAAAATTGCGGTGTCAGGTGTCGAATTTTGACACGATATTCTAGTTATCGGCGATTTCAACTTTAAAAAACAATAATAATTATAGTACGTGTGAGAGATTCTATTTTTGTGTATTGCTGACACTAATCAACTCTGCACTATGAAAGTGCGGTCTTCAATTTAATTGACGCGTGAAGAGATCTTTTGGATATTCATACGAAGATAAGATTGAGTTGAAAAGAAGAGGTAGACCATTACCTGATATTTTCATTGAAGAATCTGGTTTAAGTAGAGGAAAATGTTATAGGTACACGTAAATTCAGAAGATACATTCATTCAAAATATGACTTGAATTGTGGATGTAACAAAAAAAGCTTTATACTGTTTTCCCTGCCTACTTTTTATAATAGCGAACAATCTAGGAGATACCTTGAAGGAGAGAAGAACATTATTATAAATTGTGACAACATCAGAGGCCGAACGACGTTTCTCAACTTTACCTAAAACGAATCAAAACGTTTTTCTCCGATTGGCAGCAAATATTAATTTTGCTGACACATATCAATCAGCAAAGTATTACTTTTCCTGCCTAGGCAGCAAAGTGGTTACTTTGCTGATTGATATGTATCAGCAAAATTAATAATCCATAAATCGTTTATAATTTCCTTCATATTCCATCCGAGACTTCTCCGGCAACAAATTCAACTCTATATTTTTTGCCACCTCCCTCATTTCTGGAGGTGTAAGTACTTCCAGGTCGCTATCACTGTCCATCATATAATGATTTAAATATACCGATATATTTTCGCACAACTGTCAGAAATTTCATGAATTGTCAAACTATAATTATTATGGACATTTCCATAGCAACCAACCATTCCAACAACTGCGATTTCTATCAAATTTTATTTTAATTGATTACTACAGGAAAAATAAAGAGATGATATCATTATGAAGAATCGGAGAAAAAATTATATGTTCAACTCGGCAGCAAAGTAGATTGACTGCCTTAGCTGGATTCCTAGCCTTGCTACGCTCGGCTATGAATTCAGCCTCGGCAGTCAATCTACTACTTTGCTGCCTAGTTAAACAAATAACTATTCTCTGAAATAGACAATTTTAGTAACAGTGATTACAGAACTCGCGAACAAAATGGAACATATAGGATAGATTTGATTTATTAAAAAATTAGTTATTTTTGTATCTAGAGCGCGAAATGCTACTTTGGTGATCGAGACCTGATTTTTTTTACGAGGCGTAGCCGAGTTAAAAAAATAGTCGAGATGACCAAAGTATTTCGCGCTCGAGTTGCAAACAAAATTTTTTCTACAAACGTCAAAAAATATAGTTCTAAAGTGAAAATATGCTTAGCTTGATATAAAAAATAGTGTTGAACTGGCTTAAAAGGTCTCCCCCTATCCTCCCTAGGTACGCACGATGTTCCACGAACATAATAGGAATTTCCTTTCGTGCGCTCCAAGAGAAAAAACAAAGTTATTGTTGAACATTCAGAAATAAATGATTTTGTGGATGTCTGCTCGATTGAGGACCATAAAGTTGAAATATAAATATCTCATATATTTTTTATAACAATGCGCGAAGTAGGTACTTCGCGTACTGTTTTACTTCGCGCATTGTTTTGTGCAAGGAATCATGGTAACGTAGGAAACTGAAAAAAGTGTCACTTCGCAATTTGTTATCAATGCGCGAACCTTGTCATTTTTTGACGTTTGTAGAAAAAGGTAATTTTTTCCAAAAACTGCAGAATAACAAATACAATTTATCACGACTATTATGTAATGACTGCAAGAAGCCTAAGACAACGAGATAGGAAAAAGAAGGAACATCAAATTTCTGCACTCAAATCTAGGCACTTGGAGAAACTCAGCATTGTTTATAATATATGCTTTGTTTTGCAACTTGAAGACACTAAAGTTTACCAAATAATAAAATTTGTTGATATATTGATAATTATTTTTTATATGGACACACTGATGTAGAACTCCTATTGATTTGGGTTACTATTACTATGAATATGCGAGACGTTTCCTTGATAAATACACGAGTCAAATTTGTCTAATTATTTTTTGGCTCATTCAGTGAATAATGGGAAAGAATATTACTGGACATGATATTTTTCATCTTTTGGAGCGCACGAAAGGGAATCCGTATTATGTTCGTCCAACATCGTGCGTATGCCCAGGAAGGAAGGTATGTATTAAAATTTTGTTGTTACTAATTGGAGGTATTTAGTTCCAAGGAAAAAATACTTTCTTGGGCAAAGAAATTCAAAGTTTCGCCGTTCTATAAACATACGAGTCTTGATAGAGAATTGTTTGGCATATCTCGATTTGCTGACCCCACTTCATTTGTATATCTATTCAATGGACTTGATATCAATTAAAAAAAATTCCTTTTTTTTGTTGACTTCTATGTTCTGTATAGTTTGTCAATAAATGCTTCACGCAACCGGCCCTCTCTGTTTTTCATAAAGAAAAATGCATGGGTCGACACTTTTCCAAGACCATCGAAATTAAATGGATATTATCAGGAGTATCTTGGCTATTTGTATCGAAAACTGCGTCATAACCAATCGTTATGGTGATGTCGGGCTTTTGTTAGAGTTTCCACGTCGCTATAGTCACGTGTCATATGTCATACTTTAACACTCTCAAGAATAACCACGCCATATATAATCCTTTGGGACTGCCGAAGAGGAGGTACAGTCGTATTAAAAAAAAAACGTACAAGTATATTGGAGGAAGAAATTAACGTCATCCTATACCCAGTCAACACTGGGCAAACATCCCCACATCTCAGGGATGTCAATATCGTCAAAAATGGGATTTAGATATCCTTGTGATATCAAATCGTTGACAATACTGCGATATCACAGTGCGACACTCCTAAGATATCAAAATCAATAATAGATGTCCTTGCGATATCATATTGTTGTCATTACTGTGATATCACACTGCGACATCCCTGTGATGTCAAAATTAGCATTTAGATATCTCTGCGATGTCAAATTGTTACTTGCCATAGACGTTATACTGTGGCATCCTTGTGACATCAAAATCTAATACAGATCTCTGCGATGTCATATTGTTGACATTACTGCGATATCACATCGCAACATCCCTGTGATGTCAAAATTAGTATTATATATCCCTGCGATGTCAAATTGTTACTTTCCATAGACGTTATACTGTGACATCCTTGTGACATCAAAATCTAATATAGATATCTCTGCGATGTCATATTGTTGACTGCTCCCAATTATTCGATAAATTAGTTATCATCCGGCCTGAGTACCGGCGTAGAGAAAAAAAGGGAGGTTCTTCACTTGTAAGTGGACTCCCCCATCACCATGATGACGCCACGTGTCCGCCACCACGGCCAGAAGGCGAATCCTCAATTTGTGTTAAATGTTTATTTTAAAGTAACGCGGGAAGTTGGCAAGAAGTTGGCAACACAGATCGTAGGCAATGTTGGCTAATCTGAAAGCTGGAGGCGAGGGGTAGGCGAGAAGCGACGCTGGAGGTGACGGGAGGTCAAACGGAAGGCATCAATTCACTTCGACATAACTTCCGTATGGGCGCTTCCTATTGACCAATCAGAGCGATTTAGGCTATGGCGGTAAATTCAAATCACACAAATTCGAATCACAAACATTTGCACATATCATTATAGGTAAATTATAGGTATTCACTTCCTGGTAGGTATATAGGTTATCAACCTATATATGTTCATATAGGAGACATTGAAACTATTTCTGCAAACACATTCAATTTGGAATTTTCAGGGAAAGCTACCTTCCTCGCGTTTTCTTTTCTCGGACTCGGACTTGTCCTTTCCCCTGAATTTTGTCGTACTGTTCTTTAAAAATACAGCAATGAAACACGATTACTATTCTTGGCTCTTTTGGGAACAGTTTTGGCTCTCGAATATGTTTATTTCCTGTATTATGTTGACACCTGAAAGCCTTACATCCCGACCGTTTATCAAAAGAAGGAACGGCATAAGAGCATTTTAATATCTAGCAGCAACCATGACATATAATTCTAATAAATTATTGTTTGTTTTATGGTCATATATACAGGGTGATTCAAAAGTAAGCGGCATCCTTTCAGAGGCGTATTCCTTGCATGAAAATAAGGCAAAAAGTTCCTATTGATAAGGATCCGAAAATGCTTCCTAAGGGAGCTACGGCCCTTTGAATAGGACACCTCAAAGACGGTTTTTTCTCTATAACTTTAAAATCCTTCACAACAAATTTTTAAAAATTGGTGTACGGCATAAACATTCGATGGTAAATAGGACTCCGTATTCGAAATTTCAGAATTTCATTCAGGGGCGTCACATGCGGGAGAGGGTAAGTGTAAAAATATCCCTTCTTCTCCGGATATTCAGGTTACTGTGATTTCGTTTGGAAATTATAAAATTCTAGAGTTTTTTACGTGAAAAAGGTCCTCCTAGTTCATGTCGATAGAGCGTACCATTTAGGAGAAAATCGACTTTGAAAACTTTCTGATTTGCGTCTGTTTACTGATGTAGGTAAATTAATATGCATTTTCATAGCTCCCTTAGGAAGCATTTTCGGATCCTTATCAATAGGAACTTTTTGCCTTATTTTCAAGCAAGGAATACGCCTCTGAAAGGATGCCGCTTACTTTTGAATCACCCTGTATACACCTCCATTATTTTGGTCTTCCTATGAGGAGTGACTGGCTGCAAAGAAATTATTGTGTTATTGTTATTATCATTGTTATTATTATAGTCTAAGATCCGTACCTAAATCGACCTTCACCGAGCTGATAATAGAACGAAATATATTTTATCATGAATTTAGTATATTAGAAAACATATTAAAAATGGGTTGGCTAAAAAAATCCTGGGCAGACTATTTTTAATTATTTTTCGAAAAATTATTTTCAGTTAAATGTTGCAACATCAGGATAATAAAAAAATTGTGTCCTGACTGAAAGTATAAAACGTATAGAATGTGCAGCCGTTGGGTTGTCTACTATTTACCTGGGCGAACTACAGGGTTGTCAGGTAAACACAGGTATATCTATGCCAGTTACTTTCACTGGATTGGATAATTTAAAAAAATGTATATCATCATAAGCGCTGTTTAATTGAGAAGACGTTGATATAGGGTTGTCTGCGAAAATTCCGGTCCTATAAGGGGTTTGCGAATTTTAAAGATTTTAATTTCAACGCGCGTGGAAGTGTGTGACAGAGAGATCCGAGGTAAGTATACTGTGTAATAATAAAGGACCCAACATCGCAGTCGCTTGTGATGGGACCCTGAATAGTAGAAAGTGTGCGAAGTGTGCGAAGTCAAATCCTGAAAACTATGGTTGGCATTTTGATGATTTCTTAAAACCAACAGGTTTTATCGGAGATCAAACTCCTTTGAAAATCCAGGACATTGTCGGAATGGAAGCAAATGAGGAAGAATCTAATGAATCAGACGAATTCGAGAGTCAAAATGATACTTCTGATGAATCAGATATTGAATAGAAAATATTTATTAGAATTTATTTTTCATTAATATTATTTTTGTATTTATACTGTTTTTTAATAAAATTTTAAATCGTAATACAAGATGTCTAGTCTATCTTTTTTGTTATTTCTTAATTTAAATTTTTGGCGGTCCACTTTGTTTCTATTTCCAGAAAGAGCAAAAAAATTTCAAAGTAAGTATTTGATATTTTTATTGTCTATTATAGATTATAGATATATCATTATGGTTATAACGCAATATA